AACACAACACATACGATACACAGAAGGCCAGCCAGTTTCTCCGTGCTAGTGCAAAAAATTGCGTAGGCAGTAGGGATTGCAGCATGGGATATGTCAACCAAGATCACCTCAATGTACTTACATGTAGAATCCTCATTAATCTAGTATGAGTTGAGAACTCGAAGGCCAGCCAGTTTCCTGCCATCACACTCCTCTGCAATTGAACGCTAGGTAGTTTACTCGCTACTCGGTAGCTACTCGGTCAAGGGCCGAGTAGCGAGTATGACCGATTACTCGGGATTACTCAGTGATTACTCGGCCTAGTATTAATTAAATATAAAAAATATATTTAAATATAGTAGTCTTAATATAGTAATAAAATTGTCTTTAAATTGTCTTAAAATGTTTAGAAGTGAATAAAAGGATAGAAATTGTCTTAAAATGCATATAATACGTATACAATACCAGAATACAACTTCAAGAAGCACGAGCATTGGAAGAAAAAGCAAATATTTTCTGTAGTTTTTTGGCACCTATTCTTATTCCAATTGAAGAACTTCAAAGTAACTTCAAAGTGGCACCTACCGAACAACTAGTCCTCAAAGGTAGTTCCTTAAATAAAAATTGCAGCTCACCCAAAACAAAACATGATGCTTTTTTGCTAAGCTATATTTTTCACCTTTTCAATTAAGAGATTTTATTTCAGCATTCAGCAACTCAGCTCTCAGGGGTACATTCAATACATTCACTTTAGTTGGCCAAAGACTTGAAAATGTACAATGAAAACACCGGTTTAAGAAGCACAAGCAAACGAAGAACAATCCAAAATTCTCAGAGTTTATTACAGTATACAAAGAAGAATATAATAGGCAACATGAGGGAGAATAAGAAACAACACAGAGGATAATCTCAATTTAATTTTTTTCCAAGCGGAGGTAATGTTTTTTTTACATACCGAGTACTCCTGAGTAAATCGCCTTTTTGACCCACTGACCTAGTTGGCTAACTCGCCGAGTACTCGGCGAGTAACTCGGAATAATAACTCGGGCCGAGTAATGTGCTACTCTGCAAGGTCATAGGCCGAGTAGGGAGTACTCACTGAGTACTCGCCGAGTAAATAACCCAGATATTTGAACGCTTCAATTGAGGGTCTTTGGAAATATCCTGTAATGCTACATTATCACACATGATATTATTTATTTATTCATAAAAAACAAAATCCATATTTTAATCATTGAGTTTTTTTCCAAAATAATGCTAAATAAAAAAATATTTACAAAATTAGAGCCGGGTTAAAACTTGACGTGAATCAGGGAAGGAAGAGAATTCTGTATATTGATTCTACTGAATAATTACATGGCTAAGTATTTATAGAACTTACAAGGAGGCAGAATAGTAAAAGATATTTACAAATCTCTGGAAATCAGGGAAAGATATCTATAATCCCTGAAAATCAGGAATTATTTAAAACATATTTTCTTCAACTATTTTCTGCCTAAAATATCTCTCAACAAAACTATTTACTAAAATAATGCTAGAACCTACCCCAGTTAATGAAAGCAGCCAATTCGTTTGGCGACTTTGGCTTCAACTATATGAGGTAACCAACAGGAAATCACCCAAACTTTAAAAATCCCTCTTTTTTTTACATTGTTATAACTTTTGTATTTAACATCCAATTTTCATAAAAAATATATCAAAATTCACAAATTTTTATTATCTTTCATATGATACCAATATTCGATATATAAAAATAAAAATAATTCTGAAGATAGATGAATAGAAGTTTTTAGGCTACAACCATTTTTAAGTAAATCTATGTTCTAAAATCAAGTTCTTGTAATTTGTTAGAACCCATTTGGTAACGCTGAAATTGACTAAATCGGTTGATTCTGCTGAATTTTGTGAAATTTTGATTGAAGTGGCTGGATTAGCTGAATCTGTTGACACCAATAAAAAATTGGATGAGGAAATAGTTATTATCTTTAATATTTTTTTGAAAGAAGTTATTATCTTTCACATGACACCAATAATATATTTTTTAAATTGTTATAAATTTTTTATTTATAATTTGATTTTTATAAAAAGTACTCCCTCTGTCCCGCTAAGATTGTCCCATTTTACCTTTTTGGGAAGTCCCACTAAGATTGTCCCATACCAAATTTGGTAAAGATTGTGTGACTCTAAATCATTCTTACTTTATTCTTACTTTATCAATTTAATATCAACCACACAAACTCACTTTTCTTAATAATTGTGCCACCTTCTCTCGTCCCAATCTTAGTGGGACGGAGGTAGTATATCGAAACTCATATATTTTATTGTCTTTCATATGACACCAATATTAAATATATAAAAATATATATAAATATATAAATACGATGAGTGGAATATTTTACGTTCAATTTTTTAAATCTCATAATTATATAGCTCAATTTCATGTTGTAATTAGAGAAAATATTATTTGTTGATACTAGGAGCTCGTTTGATGACCCTGTTTTTTCGTTTTATCATCTAACCTTTTTACGAAACACGTAACTTTTGATTTCGGATGCTGAGTTGTGTAATAATGAGAAAAAGTAAGGTTTTAGTTAATTTACTAATTGTACTGGCTGAAATTACTGTAGAGAACCATTTTAACTATTTCTTCATATAATTAGTTTTATCTTATTAATAAAACATATTTTAATTTTTTTTTCATAAATCAGTAGATTCTGTCAATCCAGACACTTCAACCAGAATTTCATAAATTTCAGCACAATCAACTGATTTAGTCAATTTCAGCCTAAATTGTATAGCCTAAAAATTTAAAAAATTATGAAATCTTAATTTTAGAACATAGATCTACTTAAAAAAGTTTGTAGCCTAAAAAGCTTCTACTCATCGTATCTTTAGAATTATTTTTGTTTTTATATATCGAATATTGGTGTCATTTGAAAGATAATAAAAATTTATGAATTTTGATATTTTTTTAATTAAAATCGGATTATAAATTTAAAAGTTATAATAATTTTTAAAAAGGAGGGATTTTTAAAGTTTGGGTGATTTCCTATTGGCTACCTCATATGTTGCTCCTTGCTTCTTGCTCAAGTTACTAGTTGAAGCCAAAGTCGCCAAACGAATTGGCGGCTTTCATTAACTGGGGTTGGTTCCAACCGTATTTTGGTAAATAGTTTTAACCCGACTCTAATTTCGTAAATAATTTTTTATATAGCATTTTTTCGGAAAATAGATATGGATTTTATGTGGTTGACAAGGAATTAATGAACACAAAGGCTGAGCTTCAGCAGAATGGATGAAGAACTGAAATTATCCACCTTATACAAATTGTTCAGTAATCAGCTTAGTGAGATTAGAGTACCTTTCCCTGGTTTGAGTGGAATGATGGGATTCAACTCCTTATAGATAAGAAGCAAATTTGAAAGAGACTCAGGATTTACTACTCTCCAAATTGTCGGGCACAACAGAGATGATTGACTTTGTAGGATGATGGCCAGGATAGGGAGGATCTAAGATGGATTTCATCACTTCAGGCACATCTCAACCAACTAGAAGCTATGTACTTGAGTAGGGTACCATATCGGCGTATCAGAAACGTTCCCATATCAGATACACTAGGATACCATTACCGTACGTTACCAGGCCGTATTTGCAATTTATTAAAAGTTTCCAACTTTTTTAGGAATAATTTCAAAAATTCGTATACAGGTATCCCGACGGATACACTTATCAACTTTTTATAAAGAAAAAACCGAAAAATTAAATAATAAAGATTCTCAAAAATATTTATTAGAACTCTTAGTTTTTTTATTAGAGTATTGTTTTCTATCTTCATTGAGAATCTTTTATTCAAAAACCTTGAGCACTTGCACTTTTAATTTTCAAAACCGTGGTTGTTTGATTTGTTTCTTATTTCAATTTAGCGACTTATTGATTATATTTATATTTCAAGATGCACTAGTGTATGAATTTGTTTCTAACTCTCTTGATAATGTGAAATTCTTCAATGCCATGAATGGGCAAAGGATAATATATGTATATATTTTCCAAACATATCCTGTAATTTTTAATATTTATAAATCTACCCCGTATTTTTTAATATGTATAAATACACCCCATAACTTTTAATATTTATAATTATACCCCCGTATCCATATTCTACTTTTTTTTTGTTTTGCCGTTCCCGTTCCCGCGTCCCCGTATCAGTGCTACATAGGCTGGAAGTAAAGCAATTGGCATCTCAACTTCCAGTCATCTCTCTCACACCTGAAAACCTATTAGATAGAATGGAAGTCAAAGCACAAAGGAAACTGTGGAGTAGAAGAACGCATCAGCTGAGGACGCTCCAGTGAAGAGAACCCCTCCAAAGTCGGGAAGAAGCTCCTGACAGAATCTAGTGCTGGAGACAAGGATGAGGATGAGGAGGCAAAGAGAGTCCAGGCAGCGGCGCGACTTGTGCTTCCAGGTAAGCACGCCGTGACTGAAGAAACAAGGCGGTCACCAAGTTTACTCCTAACCGTAAACCAGATTGTTCGTATTTTCATTCCTTGCGAATTTAGACGAAACAGAGCATATATTTTGAGGTAGAATGAAATTGAGAAGACGAGCAAAGAGAAATATCTCCTCACCTCACGGCGCACAGCAACACCATCATAGTCCATCCTTCTCTCTTCCATGGTAGATCACTGAGTCCAGGAGATATAACTCCAACTCCACTCCGATTTGAAATTGGCAAATGGATACAACTCCAATCTAAATTTGGCTATGGAGACAATTCAAATCTATATTTCAATTTGCTAGATATAGGGTTCAGCGTGAAGAGATAGATAACATATTTTTGAAATAAAAAAGTTGAAAGTGAAAAGATGAAAGTTTATAAATGAAAAAAATATCCTTGTGCCATAAATGAAATATGATGGACAAAAGTTGCTCATCGAAGTAATTACCACTTTTCTTTAATACAAAATGACCACATGTGTGATTGTGTGATGTGCTCATGTGCTTCTCACTCATCTATCCAGATGAGGGCTATAAAAGAGGAACTAGGTGATAATGATGATGATGATGATGATTTGACTTCCCTCGAAAGGAAGATGCAAGATGCAGGAATGCCTGCAAATATCTGGAAACATGTTCATAGGGAACTAAGGTATGCTTATATTCAGGCTTTATTGGTACTTTGGACCTTTGAGAAATCCTTTTCATACCATATATTGTGAACCACGTAAAAAAGATTGAAGATTTTGAGTAATTCGCTCGATGTTTTTTCATAAGATATAGTAATTGACCTGAAAGAGCATTTCCCAACTTGCCATAACTGATAACTCTAAATTTGTAAGTATGTGTAAAGGCTATATGATACTGGGCAGTTTGACTTAATTACTTCCTTTTAATTTCTACACTGGGTTGACATATCAGGAGACTAAAAAAAATGCAGCCTCAGCAACCTGGATATAATAGCTCGCGTGTGTACTTGGAGCTTCTTGCAGACCTTCCCTGGCAGAAGGCTAGTGAAGTGCATCATCTGGACCTGAGTGCTGCAAAAGAGCGTCTTGACAGTGACCACTATGGTTTGTTCAAGGTTAAGCAGCGGATAATAGAGTACCTAGCAGTTCGCAAGGTTCAGCAGCATTCCAGTTGTAATGTATACTTGATCCTTTCGGTGAGAAAGGTTTTAACTATGTTCTAAACATCAATGCAGCTCAAAGCAGATGCAAGAGGTCCAATATTGTGTTTTGTTGGCCCACCCGGTGTTGGGAAGACGTCTTTAGCTACAACTATTGCTGCTGCTTTGGGCAGGAAATTTGTACGCATATCTCTTGGTGGTGTCAAAGATGAGGCTGATATCAGAGGTCACAGGAGGACATACATTGGAAGCATGCCAGGACGTCTAATCGATGGATTAAAGGTGTGAAGTTTACCTTGCACCCGTGTGTCAGTTCTTCTCCTAGCTTATGGGCCAGGACATGAATATTACTGATAAGCAAGTTATAAACAAAAAGTGACATTTTTTTAGTTTCCAAAAATGTGACTAAATAGGTCGTAAAACTAGAAACACATACATGTGTAGTACTAAATTACTCCACCTAATACCTGACCCAACCCCGATGCTCCCGTGACTCCGGCGGGGACGTTCGCCCGTGGCTCAGTGACCTGCTGTCCCCATCAACCACGCCACTCCAGTGACCAACTAGCAGTGACTCCGGTGATCCAGTGGCCTGCCGCCCTAGTGACCCGTCGACTAGTCGTCTCACCTAGTGTCAGCACCGCACCACCCCGGCTTCCCAGTGACCCGACGCCTCAGTGACCAAACACTACTAGTAACTTTGGTTGTGCAATGACCAACCTGTCACTGCACAACCAGCCCTTCCCGGCCCGGCCCTCTGCCAGTCTGCTACTGCCCTACCACTTCCCCCATTCCTTGCCATTGCCTCCTTCCCCAAAACACTAGCCATCGATGGCGGTTTGAAACCCTAGCCGCCGCTGGACTGTTTCACCTTCACAGGGATCGAATAAGCCTGTAAAAAAGTTAGACCGAAATGCTGCCGCCAAAGAAATTTGTCGCCGTCTTCATCAAAGAGATCTATTGCTGCTGGAGCCGAAGAGATTTCTCGCCGCTGCTGTCAATGAAATGTGTTTCCGGCGCAGGAGTAGAGGCGGCGTCTGCGTCGCAGAAGCAGAGGCGCATCTGATTCACATGAGCTGGCACAACATCGAGCTGTGTGGGAGACTAGGAGTTACACATGTACAGACCGGAGGGAGAGGTTGCAAATGGGAGGGACATACAGAAGGGAGAAATTGTAGACGAGAGGGAGGGGAATTTGGGGTTGTTTCTTAATAGTTAGACTAGGTGTGTTTTTGTTTTTCCAATACCACTTAGTCTTTTTTTTTTGTCCAAATTAAAATTAGGTTCATTTTTATCCACTCAAAAGCTCATAGGAAATTTATATCATTATTTCATAGCTTATTCCAATTTTTACTAATTGTATACCATCTAAAATTTTATGAAATCCATTATATGGTTCATGACTTGATGACATGCAAGGGAACCAGGGTCCGGTTAGAACTCTATGGAAGTGTTAGTAGTGAGAGAAAACAGGGAAGAAGATATATGCAAATTTTGAAGAAAAGAAAATGTGGGGGAAAGTAAAACATTGGTTCATCTGACTATTGTATACACTTTTGGTACTCAACTTTGATTTTTTGTTTTTTTACTTTTAGTCCTTCGAATATTGTGAGAGACACTTTTGGTCATCGACTTTGAATTTTTCCACTTTTGGTACTTTGAATACTGTGAAAGACACTTTTTGTCCTCGGTTTTGAAATTTGGGGAATTTTGACTTTGCACCCCACTTTTGGGTGATATTGGACTTTGCACCCCATTTTTCAAATGGGGTGCAAAGTTCAATATCACCTAAAAAGCGGGGTGCAAAGTCAAAACATCCCTTGAAATTTTCCACATTTAGTCCTTTGATAATTGTAAAAGTGTGAAAGTGGAAAAGTTCAAAGTTGAGTACTAAAAGTGTCACTATATAATAGTCGGAGGATTAAAAGTGACAATAATTCTTTTGATATTATTTAAACTAATTTTATTTCATTAATTTTATAATATACAAAGTATATACTAAGAAATCTACACATGTTTAAAGTTAAAAAAGCATTAATTGTGTTTCATTTTCTTAAGCATTTATGAGGTGATACTGAATACAAGAATGTAACCAAAGTTAGCATCTCTTTTCCTTTTCCTAGAATTTTATGGGATCCAAACAAGACCTAAGGAAGCACTTGAGGTCCATTTATATCTTAAAACAACAAAGATATTGTACCTTGCCACCACGAGTCATGTCATATCCTGTTAAGCCAATTATGAGGCATGAAATTGCAAATACTACCATGTTGACTACTTGACTACTAACCAACTTTTTTTGTGATGGAGAAACTTAAAGAAATGATTTACTGACAAGTACACGGCATCAAAATAAAGTAGATATTCATAGTAGTAGACTAAATGGTTGTGTGTTACTGTGCAATATTATTTGTCTCACAATTTATAGTTTTATAGTACGTTCTGTTTCAAATTATACATGGTTGTTATGTAGAGATTGTGAATTTCTGAATATTTGTTATGTATTATAATCCCAGAATGACAGGATTTTGATACAACCTATTGGGGAGAGAATCTAAGACAACAAATATACGATCTGCTAATTTAAACAACAGAATATCCAATTTCTAGAAAGAATGAAATATATGATATCTGGTATTAATATCAGATCAGATCTAAAGTACAGTGGTAGCTATTCTCTAAATAAGGAAATAATTCCACAAAGATATTAATGATGGATCTTTATGTACTTGTATTCATAATTTATCAAAATAATTAATGCTTACCCTGTGTTATCTACTCGCTGTGAGTACTCACAAGTCAGGGGAGTGACCGTGCCGTTTAGCAGTCTGGCTCGGCCTGTTCTGTTTTTCTGAGATACTTGCCGAGTTTCTTAACTTAGTGGCAATTTTGACTCGGCGAGTTACTCAGCAACCACTAAATGTTTTTTTTTAAGTTAAATGTGAGAAGTGTATACTAAACTGGGATACTATGAAACTTATAAATAATGAGTGGGTATTTTATAAATTGGAAAAATATCATTACAAAATCAGTCTAGGTTTAAAAGTATTTAACAGATTGGCTCATATTAGAGAGATGATTGATTTTCTTGGAAACTTAGAATGTCTATGATTTTTGCTACTTTATCATTGAGATTATTATTAGTTTATTCATATCAAAGATGTATAAGACTAACATATTACTAGGATTTCGGACATCTATATGTTTAAATTTAATTAAGACAGGGCTGAGTAATCACTTAGTAATCCCGAGTACTCGGTCCTACTTGCTACTCGGCCTTGACCGAGTTGCTACCAAGTAGATTTAACCACTTAGTTCTTACCTATAAGTGGTATTGGGGTGTTAAGTATGATATACATACATGCTTGATTCAATAGATGCGTACTATCAAAAGTTTTTTAGTTAGGATGGATGTACTTAAATTTTTAGTCAAAATGTGCATTATGCTAACACAAATATGTTAGCCTACAGTATGGTGATATCCAATATGTCTTTTCTTCTGTCCAACTTTCAGAGAGTAGGGGTTTGTAATCCAGTCATGCTACTGGATGAGATAGACAAAACAGGGTCTGATGTGAGGGGGGATCCTGCTTCAGCACTTCTTGAGGTCCTTGATCCTGAACAAAACAAAGCTTTCAACGATCAGTATCCTTCAGCTAACTGCTTTCTTGTATAAATAATATGTTTTGTTAACTTGATGAGGTAATGTTATACTTATAGTTGAGTGAATGTTTCAAAAATCAACAGTCATTTGTTTTTGAGTTGGACATGAATACAAATAAAATACAAATACCATCTTCTGCGGAAAATAGCAGGATCTTTGAATATGTCTTTATTTTTCTGGTCATACATGTCTTCATTGTTCACTTCTAAAAAGGCCCACTGAAGAGGATCTCACATGCGATTATCCCCAGTATTCTGCCCTCAACCTCAAATCAACAAAGTTCAAACGTAGCAATGCCTGTTAGTCTTTTAGAACTTAGTTATGTATGTGAATCATACTGTTATACATCCTATAATGAACTCATATTTCACGCACAGACGCACTATGATTCCTTAAATAAAATTTCAGTTATCTGGGTGTACCATTTGACCTCTCAAAAGTAATATTTGTGGCAACCGCAAATAGGAAGCAACCTATTCCTCCTCCACTCTTGGACAGAATGGAAGTCATTGAGTTGCCTGGGTATACACCAGAAGAAAAGCTTAGAATAGCGATGCACCATTTAATCCCGAGAGTTCTTGATCAGCATGGCTTAAATTCTGATTTCCTTCAAATTCCCGAGGTACTGTAGTCACGCCATTAGGCATATAATATTAGTTGGCAAAAATAGTGTGAAACGATTGCATCTTTGTTTTATGCTCATCATCTTCACCTTAATCCCTTGCACATTAGGGTCAGAGTCTTGCAATTTACAATGTTGATTTGTTGTTTATTACGTATCTCCCATCTAAAATAAAGAGTCCTGTTTCAAGTTCTTTTTTTGTCCCAAAAAAGAGCCCGATTTTAGAAGTGCAATTTAACTTCAAAGTAAAATTCATGTAAAGCCAAGCGCCAAACAGTAGTCAATTCGTGCAAACTATCTTTGAAGTTAGTTTGAGGTACAACTGACCAACTGACCATTCATAACATTTGAATGCTTGTACCTTGATTTTATTAACTAAATATAAAAAGTACGGCTGTACAGTATTCAACAAGTCTTCTTGTAGCAACCGTCTAAAGAATAATAGTGAGATGAAATTCTAATTCTGTCGTCTTCGCATGATTTTACTTCTGATTCACTGTACTATGTTTTACATATTAGGGTATGGTGAAACTTGTTATCCAATGGTACACTAGGGAAGCTGGTGTGCGTGATCTGGAGAGGAACTTAGCAGCTTTAGCACGTGCAGCAGCTGTCAGGGTGGCAGAACAACATACTTTGCCTCTTAACAAAGATAACATGCAAAGGCTTACTTCACCGCTCTTAGGTAGCAAACTTGCAGAGGGTGGTGAAGTCGAAATGGAAGTCATCCCATTGGGTGTCAATAATCATGACATACCAAATGCGTTTTGCATTGCTTCGCCTTTAATGGTTGATGAGTCTATGCTTGAGAAGGTGCTTGGAGTAAGTGCATTCCACTCTCCATTTATTTTTTATGTAAACTATTCAACTTTTTGTTTTAGTAGATGTCACAACTTTGCGGCCGTTTAGTAGATTGAGTTTTCTTTTTGATAGGGATACAGCTGCACTTAAAAAAGAAGATAAATACTTTGGCTAGGTCTATTCTAGAAGGGGGAAGTAGAATAGTTAGTTGATAGTTATTTCAGTTATTAGCTATTAACTACCTATCTGTTAGAGTGGGGAAGTTATAAATAGAGGAGTCTGGACTGAGTTAGGCAGGCTGTTGGACAGTTAGTCTGGATTGGGAGGATTGAGATTCATTGTCTCTTTCTTCGAGGCTTCGGCTGTACTCACTTTCACCATTAATAAAGCTTGGAAGTTGTTTCTTGAATACTTTTCATCTTTTCTGTAATTTTCTGTATACCTGGAGTTGTTCTATCAGTGGTATTAGAGCACGTCGATCACTGTGGATGATCTTTACGTGTGCAAAAATGAAAGGAAGAATGAGCGAACTGGAGAGGAATCAACAAGAAGCAGCGGCAACAACTGCAGCGACTTTGGCAGTGATACAAGCGAGCATCGCGAACCTGGAGAAAAGAATTCAGAGTCGTTCGCGAAGTAGATCGCATGCATCTTCCGCATCGCATCGCACCTCACACCATCAACATTCACAACATTCAGCTAGTCCAGATGAATCAGAGGACAACTCAGATTATTCGTCTCCGCATCGTCATCGCAAACATCACCGGGAGCATGGCAATCACCATCGAACTGGCAGGAAGGTTGACTTGCCTTTATTCAATGGTGATGATGCCTATGGTTGGCTAGTGAGAATTGATCGTTATTTCAGACTCAATCATATCGAGGAAGAAGAAAAAATAGAAGTAGTTGTGGTAGCTATGGAGGATAGGGTGCTTAGTTGGTTCCAATGGTGGGAGAATCAAGCACGTGAGAGGACATGGGAAAAACTGAAAAAGGCTCTGACTCGTCGCTTTCAATGATAGGGACTTGACTAATATGAAGAGAGGAGATAAATACTTTAATAAAGTGTATTCTAGAAGGAAGTAGGGTCTGCTATTAATTAGTCTGTTTTAGCTAATAACTACCGGTTGTTATAAGTCCCTACTATAAATAGATTACATTTGGAAGTTGTTAGTAGGCTGTTTTGACTTGGAATGTGGATTGGGAGATCAGAGTTGTACCTCTATCTTGTTGCCTAAGAAATAAAAGTTGCCCTTACATTCTTGATTCAATCGAGTGTTCTGTTAGAACTGAATCTGCAGGTCTAACATTGGTATCAGAGAGGTTGATCGTTGTTGATGGTATTGACGCGCGCGAAGATGGAATCGAGATTAGATCAACTGGAGAAGATGATGACCGAAGTTCTGGCTAAGCTGGATACGCGAGATCAACATCGTTCGAGGAGTCGATCGCGGTCCTCATCTACCTCGCATCATTCATCGCATCATCACTCGACGCGATCGGATGACAGTTCCGATGGATCGGAAGGTCACAGGGAGACTTCACCGCCACACCGGCATCACCATCATCACTAGACACACCGGAAAGTTGACCTACCTTTATTCAACGGTGACGACGCTTTTGGATGGCTGGTCAAGAACGATCGATATTTTAGACTCAACAATGTAGAAGAAGAAGAAGAAGATAAAATTGAAGTTGCAGTAGTCGCCATGGAAGGCAAAGCTCTCGGATGGATCCAGTGGTGGGAAAAAACAGGCCAGAGAGAGGAATTGGGAAAGGTTGAAGAAGGCTCTGATTCGCAGGTTTCAACCTGAGTTGATCCAGAATCCGTTGGGCCCTTTGTTGAGTTTGAAGCAAAAGAATTTTGTACAAGAGTACAGAGAACTATTTGAAACAGCTATCGTTTCTCAAGAAGGTTTGGACAGGAAGGTTATGAGAGGCATGTTTTTGAATGGCTTAAAGAAAGATATCAGGGCTGAACTGAAGCTGTATAAAACCAAAGATCTGGAGAAATTTATGGATAATGCACTATTGATTGAGAACAAGAATGAAGAAATAATAGTCAGAAGACACAAAGAAGAAGGAAGAAAACACTGGAAGCCACCTACAAATAGAGAAATCAATTATCAGAAAAAGGGGGAGGGAATCAAGAACAACCATATATATACTTACTCTGCTGGGAAGAATGGTAATGATAACAAGAGTATGGAGAGTGGTGAAGGTTCTAATTCCAGAAAATTTGGCCCAAAATTATCACAAAATGAACTCATGGACAGAAGTAAGAAAGGATTGTGCTTCAAATGTGGAGAAAACTGGAGTAGGGGGCATGTTTGTAAGATGAAGAACTTCAGAATGATGTTGGTAGAGCAATCTGATGAGGAGGAAGAAACCGAAGTGACAGCAACTCTGAAGAAGAAGGGAAGGCTCATCCGGAACTGAAATCCATGCAACTATCTGTACTCAGCAAAGAAGGTATACCTTCTATGAGAACCTTCAAGGTTCTGGGAAATTTGAAGTGGTCTGCAGAAGACAAGAAGGTCAATGTACTTATTGACAGTGAAGCCACCCACAATTTTATATCGCAGAAACTGGTTGACAAGTGGGACATTCCATTCAAACCAATCAAGGGTTATAGGGTGCAGATTGGAAATGGTGAATTCATATCTAATAAAGGCAGATGCATGGGAGTTAAACTGATGGTGCAAGGGAATGAAATCAACCAAACCTTTTACACACTTGAACTGGGAGACACTGATGTGGTTCTAGGATTAGAATGGCTCACTAAATTGGGGAATATGGAGGTTAATTTCCATGAGCAGATCATCAAATGGAAGAATAGTGGGCTGGATTGTAGTATTAAAGGAGATACAGCCTTGAATAAGCTGGAAGTCCCTTTGAAGACTATGACTCAGATCATCCAGCAAGTGGGAGATGGGTACTTAAACTATATTGTGAAATGAAACAGAACAGTGAAGGACAGAATCAAGAGAGAAACAAGGAGTGGGAAGACATTTTACAGGAATTTCTAGAGGTCTTTAAATCTGAGTTGGAATTTCCACCTGAAAGAGCTTGTGACCACTCCATCAACATCAAGGAGAGCTCCTGCATTCCCAATATAAGACCATACAGGTACTCACATGATCAAAAAAATGAGATAGAAAGAATTGTTAAGGAAATGCTTAACTCTGGAATAATCAAACACAGTAACAGCCCCTATAGCAGCCCTATTTTGTCATCAAAGAAGAAGGACGGGGGTTGGAGATTCTGTGGAGATTACAGATCTTTAAATAAGATAACGGTGCTTGATAAGTTCCCAATCCCGGTTATTGAAGAGTTGCTTGATGAATTAGGTGGAGCTAAAGTTTTTTCTAAGTTAGATTTGAAATCTGGTTACCACCAGATTAGAATGAAAGCTTGTGACACACATAAAATAGCATTTCGAACACATGAAGGGCATTACGAATATTTGGTAATGCCATTTGGGTTGACCAATGCACCCTCCACATTTCAAGCATTAATGAATGAGATTCTAAGGCCTTTCCTTAGAAGGTTTGCATTAGTCTTTTTTGATGACATATTGGTGTACAGTAAGAATTTTGAAGAACACAAAGATCATTTGAGGCAAGTCTTAGCAGCATTACTGAAGAACCAGTTGGTGGCTAATAGGAAAAAGTGCTATTTTGGCCAACATCAGCTGTCTTACTTGGGGCATATTATCTCTGAAAAAGGTGTATCTGCAGATCCAAACAAAATAGAGGCCATGAAGGATTGGAAGGAACCACAAGACATCAAGGGTTTGAGAGGGTTCCTTGGGTTGACTGGTTACTATAGGAGGTTTGTCAAGGGGTACAATAAAATTGCTGCACCTTTAAATAAACTATTGAAGAAGTATGGGTTCAGATGGAATGATAAAGCCAGAGAAGCATTTGAAGAGCTGAAAGTAATCATGACTACCCTACCAGTTTTGAGGACCCCTGATTTTAGTAAAATATTTACTGTGGAAACTGATGCTTCGGGAAAGGGTGTAGGGGCTATACTGATGCAGGAGGGCAGACCCATAGCCTTTATGAGTAAAGAATTATCTGCCAAACATCAAATGAAATCAGTTTATGAGAAGGAACTTATGGCAATAGTGTTTGCTATTTAGAAATGGAGACCCTATCTTTTGGGTAGACAGTTTGAGGTAATAACAGATCAAAGAAGTTTGAAATACCTTACTGAGCAAAAGATTATGGGAGAGGACCAGCAGAAATGGATCTCAAAGTTGATGGGTTATGATTTTGTGATCAAATACAGACCAAGCGTGGAGAATGGGGCAACTGATGCTCTTTCTAGGAAAATGGTTTGCTATCCTTGTCCATAGTCACCTGCCATGAATGGAAAGGGTTAGAGGAGGAACTGGAAAAAGATCCATGGTGTGGAGGGATCATTCAGCTGGTGCTAACTCAACCTGACAAGGTAAGAAATTTTATAATCAAAGGAGGGTTGCTATATTTCAAAGGGAGGTTGGTAATTCCAAAAGGGTCCAGCAGAATTGTAAACATATTGAAGGAATATCATGAATCAGCGATTGGAGGGCACTCTGGGCAATTCAGAACAATGAAAAGAATATCCAACCTGTTCTACTGGGTGGGAATGAGATCTGAAATTCAAAAATTTGTTCAGGGATGTGATATTTGCCAGAGAAACAAATACCAGGCTCTGAAACCTGCAGGGTTATTGCAGCCTTTACCCATACCTACCCATGCGTGGACTGATATAAGTATGGACTTTATAGGTGGATTGCCTAGATCTATGGGAAAAGATACAATTTTAGTGGTGGTGGACAGATTATCTAAGTTTGCACATTTCCTACCCCTAACCCATCCATACCATGCCAAAGAAGTAGCGGAGTTATTCATGAAGGAGGTAGTGAAAATACATGGGTTTCCCAAATCCATAGTGAGTGATAGAGATAGCCTATTTTTTAGTATATTTTTTAGTACATTCTGGTCAGAACTTTTTAAGGCTGCAGGGACTAT